TTAATTAAATTTAAAGACTTCATTAAATTTCTAACAGGTTTAATTGATTTATTCAAAAGTTAATTGAGCAAAAATTAAAAGAATTAATTAAGTTCAAGAACTTGATTAAACTTCTAATGGTAGGAGGATTCAATCAAGAACTCAATTAAAATAAATTAAGTTTGAAAGTTTAATTTGAATTTAATTGAAAATTTTGAAATTTTAAAGGACTAAATATAAATTTTACAAGCTTTGTTGAACGCAATTAGAAGTTTGATTGCAAGAAATATGAAGTTTAAAAGCTAGTCGAGGGCTAACTTAAAAAAAAAATCAAGACCAATGACCTGTTTATAAAAGGAACAGAACAGTAGGAACTATACCAAAGCCTTTATAGGAACTAAATTGAAAAAAATTAAAGTTTAAGATTTAATTAAAAACTAAATTAAATAAATTAAAAACCAAGAATTACCGTGTAAAGATTGTTTGATTTAAAAAATCTTAATTGATTTTTGAAAGGGGTACATTATATTAAATTAGTCATGCTTTGTCTAGTTAAAAATATATAAGCTCAAATTAAAATAACATGATTATTTATAAAATAATTTATATTTTTATCTAAATAAAATGGATATGATAACAAATCTAGATTAAATTCTTTATATATTAAAACAAAAACATGAAATTGAGAAAAATAGTTAGTGTTTATCAAATATTGTTTTTTAAAGTATTTTTTAAAATATATTAAAATAATTTATTATTTTATTTTATTTTAAATTTATTTTTAATAGTAGATATCAAAACTACTAAAAAACAAAAAAAAATAATTAAAAAATAAAAAAATGAAATTTTTTTATTTCTTGCTTCAAATTAATATTTTTTTAATATTTTTAGATCATTTTGATGTGATAATTTAAAAAAAAAATTTAAAAAAAATAAAAAAAATATTTTAATATATTTTTAAATAAATAATATTTTAAAAAAATTAAAATTATATTTTTAAATTACTGATGATGAATTCATCATGATTCTTTTATAACACAAAAATGATTGAGAAAAAGGAGTAGTATGTCTTTATAAGTGTGACAGATATTATTTTTTAAAATATTTTTTTAATATATTAAAATAATATATTATTTTAAATTTTTAAAATTTATTTTTGATAGTAGATATCAAAACTACTAAAACATAAATATAATAATTAAAAAACTAAAAAAATAAAAATATGGTGGGACTCTCTGGCCTTAAGTGTATTTGGCAGTGCGGTAGCGGTTGATTTTCAAATAATTTTTATGCAGAAATGCATACCAATAATGTTTTTTTATTTTTTAAAAATTATTTTTAATATCAGTATATCAAAACAATTTAAAATGTATAAACCATATTAAATTTTAATAAAAATAAAAAATAAAAAATAAATAAATTTTTTAGAAACACAGTTTCAACCGCCTTCCAAACACTGTTTTTAATATATTCTAGATACAGGGTTCCTGCTCACAGCTGTATTTCACTGTTCAATGATGAATTCATCATGAACATTTCTACAACACGAAAATGATTGCCAGCAATTGCGGCTCTTCACTTCTTCCATTTAAATCTTCTTGACTTTTTTTAAATTGAAAATAAAAATAAAAATTAAAGGGTAAAAGAAAATGACAAGAAAAGCAACCTTAGCCTAGCGTAGCCAAGCCGAGCCAAAACTGGAAAACAATCGAAATCAGACCACCTCCTTCTCTCTCTCCCTCTTAGTTGGCATAAAATAATGTTCAATTTTTTAAATAAAAAATTGGGTGGAAGGCAATGAAGCATTCCGGACAGAAGGATACACCTAATGAGGATGATTTTGTAATTTAATAATTCCTGTGGCCTCTAACTAAAACCATCAGCTAGCTCCAGTCCTAGTAAAATGACTTTTGTGCCCTCTGCGAACCACAGAACTCTTGCTAACCAACTCGATTTTTCTTTCTTTTTCTTTATATCTTTTTAGTTTTCTATAGGGAAATTTGAATGTAAATAACTCTTCAATTCACCATTGCTGACTTTAAAAAAACTAAATTATTTTTTCAGTAAACTAATATCTCGTTATTAAAATACCAAATTCACTTGATAATCTTTTTTAATTCAATATTATTTCTTGTTTTATATTTGTTTGAACAAAAAACTGATGTATTTGAATAATTAATATTTAGGATTGATTAATACGATTTTATAGAACGAAAGATCAAAGGGAAGGAGGAAAATAAGTCAGTGGCATTTGCCTAAGAAGGAAAAGATAAAGCTAATTCATTTTATTTAGAGATAAAATTGATGAAATATTTAGTTTTTTTTTTATTTTTTTATTTCATTTCATATGAGGGAAATGATTTGGACTCAACACCAGCCACTAAAGACTTTGATTTTTAACTTGTTTCAACACGAAAAATAGCCGCGATTTGTTGCTTTGTAGACCCCTCACTAAAACGAGGCAGTGTTTATTTTTATATTTAAAAAATAGTTTGAAATTTTTTAATTTTTTATTTAAAAAAATAATTTTAATTTTCATGTACTAATATTAAAAATAAATTTAAAAAATAAAAAAATATTATTTTAATACATTCACATGAAAATCATTTTAAAAAAACAGCAATTAACACAATATCTTTATTTTTTATTGGACAAAAGAAAAATCATTTTATTATAATGGAAGCTGATTTCTCACCAGTTATGATAGGAACTGTTAACCCTCAGGAAAATGGAAAAATGGACCAAGATCGGAACAACAACATAATTATAATTATAATTATAATTATAATCATAATCATGATTATTATCATGATGACGACGACGATGATTAAGTTGTGTCTGAGACTGATTAAAGGCTCCTGGTAGTTAGCAGGGCATGTTTCTTCATGTGCAATTCTCATTAAATGTAAAGAACCGAACTTTCAAGCTGTCCCCCTATTTTTAGAAAAAAAAATAAAAAATGAAATGATAAACAACAGAGACAGATCTACTTCCATGTTCCAAATTCAGAACAGCCCGTCAGAATCATTTGCAAGCTGTGGCTTACCTTACAGGATATTTTATCAGGCAACACAAGCTGTCCTTTTTCTTTATTTTACTATTTTTCTTTTCTAACATCATAGTGTCATGCGTTAGAGTATGATTGGGATTATCATTGTAATTATTTTTTTAATATTTTTATATTAAAATATATTAAAATAATTTTTAAAATTAACCGATCAAAACAATATAATATATATATATATAAATTAATTTTTAATAAAAAATAAATTTTTATAAAATATAATTTGCATCACGTTTCCAAACAATGTCTTAAATTAATATTTAGAATTGTGATTAAAATTATTTATCAAATTATATTTTATTTAAAAATATATTAAAATAATTTTTTTATTTTTTAAAATATATTTTTAACATTAATACATCAAAATAATTTAAAATTATAAAAAAATTATTTAAAAATAAAAAATTTCAAAACTACTTTTTAAACGCAGCCTAAAAGGGGATCGACAGCGGACTCAAAATTATATAATTTGATTTCAATAATAAGCCATTTAAACATATGGTTTAGATGATGAGAAAAAGAATTAAGTGGATTGGATCATCTTATTTATTTGTACAAGGAGGATAGCAATGGCTCAACTACTTCAAATCAGGAACCGTTTCTAAACCCCATTCACAGGAGTCTGAGGAGATGTCCGCCTACTGATGCCGACAGATCAATTCCCACTTCATAATGTCCTATAAATATTGATGAGGATTGATTTTTAAAATATTTTTATTTAAAAAAATTTTTATAAAAAAAATTTAAATATCATTATATCATGTAAAATAATTTAAAAATATAAAATTACATTACCTTAAACCACCACTGAAGAATGAAATCTAACCTGGCCTGACGGATTACACGCTGTAAAACAAAGAAACGATGGAGAAAACAGCAATAACAGAAAATTTCAGACATCAAATTTAAGTTGCTTTGGGAACACATGTCAGAATCTTTCCAGCACACGGACAAGGAGGAGAATCATACATTAAAAAAACATGTCGTAATTCAAGAGAAGAAGAGGAAAGTCCTCTCACCATCAAACAACTAAAACAATGTTACTGTATTTTATACTTTTGGTAACTTTAGTTAATTTAATTATGTTACTGTATTTTATACTTTTGGTAACCTTAGTTAATTTGATTTTAAAAAATTATTTTTTATTAAAATTAATTTAGTATTTATATATATTTAATTAAAATTATAGTTAAAATGAAGATTAAATAAAAAATAATTTAATACATTTGGTTAAACATACCTTTTAAATTAAGGTTATAAAATAACTAAAAATAAAATTTATTAATATTGTTAATTTTAATTTTAATATTGTAAATTTAATTATTAATATTATATTATTAAATAAATAATATTTTATATCATATATTTTTAAGTATTTACAATTTTATTACGTATGAAATTTATCTAATAAAAACTATATTTTTTATAATTTTTAAAAATTTAATAAAATCAAGTAAAATATCATCAAAAATAAAATTATAATTATAATTAAATTTTATAAACATTACATCATCCATCATACAATCACCTTTCAACTTTTATAATTTTATTAAATACTAGTTTACAAAACCGGTACCAACAGTGCAAACTTAATTTTTAGTAAAACTCATCCTTTAAAATCTGTATTTCAAATATTTATTAAACAATTATAAATTGTTGGTGGAACAAAATACAATTACAACCATGATACCAAACGGCTTGTTGGGAATGAAAAGGAGTACAATGCCCTCTTGTTTTGTACTTCGGGAGCACACTTTTCAAAGAATCAGCCAAAACTATATCAAGCTCAACAGCCACTGCCCGCAAGGTACATGGGTAAAACATCCTGCTTGTTGTCAGCTGTTTTTAATTATAATAATAATTATTTTTAAAATATTTTTTAACATCAACACATTAAAATAATCTAATAATATAAAAAAATAATTTTAAACAAATAAATAAATTTTACCCATCCCAAAAATAAATAAATTTTATCCATCCCAGACAGGGGCTGTAGTCGGGTTCTTATCCCTTACAAATTGTTTATTACTACTACATGGTAAGTAGTAAACACACCATGTTAGAAAACCAACAGTGTTCAAGCGGGAAAGAAACAAAATTTTATTCATGTGGGGGTATGGATCTACACATTTTTGGGTTTCGCTCACAACCCTTGAAGGCTCTTCTAAATATAAGCTGCTGAATAGGACAATCATTCTCTCTTCTCTTTTGTGCGTAAAGATTGGAAAAGACAAAAACATCATTGAGTAAGGCCGATGCAGGTAGCATACGACTGGAGTACAGTTAGAGCTTGCTCTGTGATAGCTCTGTTCCTTGCTCGCCTCACCCAATCACCAGCTATCTCTTCTGCCTGGCTGCCTTGGACACCTTTTTGGAGAGCATCTGCTGCTTCAGCAAGCTTTCCCTCAGCAAGGAAACCCTCAACTCTACTAATAATAGATTCAATACCGTCACCAGAGGGTTCGACTTCTTTGAACTGTACCAAAGACAAATCAGGATAGTTTAGTTCCACGCTAGTTGGATAAAAAGAGACAGTTCACGAACAGTAGTAGTAAGTGACAAATACAAAAAGTTTCTCAGATAGATCTCGTATTTGCCTACCCTCAACCAGGATGCAACATGTGCCAAAGCGTGAGCCAAGATGCCGCCACCACCAGGTGGGATCAAAATATAATGTCTTAGATTCCCTTTCATGACATTGAACTGGAGAAAATGAAGATCGATAAATGATCTTGGAAAAAAAAAAAAAAACAGAAACACTAAAAATTTTGTAAGTTGCCAGCTTCAGTGACATTAGGGCTTTCTATAGAATAAAAGCAAAGACATTCAAGCATTATCATCATACAAGTGGAAGTTAGAATTCATATTGGACTACATACTAACACTTCAATAAAAATGAATTTATTATAAGCAGAATGGCATGCAATTTGTAATCTGCCAAAGATAATACTCGTAAACCTAAGTTCAATAAGAGATCATGAAATGACATCATTCAATCTGCACAACTGGATTACACCATTTACTGGCACATGCTAACAAATGGACCAACAAGTGACTTGCCTTCTGATTCAATTCCAATAGTGTATCAGGACCATGGTGCTTTGTTTCTTCAGGAAGGTTTGATAGAACCAGAAGTAAAAGTGAGTCCTTATCAATGCCCTCAATATAGGTGTTTAAAGCATCTAGCTCTTGCTGAATCGGTAGTCCTCTGTAAAGTGCATCTTCTAATGCAAGCGCTCCCTGTAACATGTGCATGCAGTACATCATTTTGCTAACTAGGTAAACATTGATATCAGAAATGCACAAGTATAACACAAGTGCCGGCACACAAGACAGAATGAACATTAGTATCCTGAAAAAAAAAATTGAAAGGAAGAAAAGAACAAGAAATCCTTACAAGAGCAAGCTTGTGAACAGAGTGAATTTGACGAGCCTCTTCAGATCGCGCATAGAATGCCATGCACAAGGCATTTATCTGTAAAAACAAGAAGAATTATCACCAAACAATTTGCATAATAGAAACTTCCAAGGTGCTAAAATGCCAACAAGTGAAAGATGTTAACACATGCTAATAGCTGTGAAATACTAGTGAGCAAGCATACACACTCTACTTGTGGAAACATTTAGGCTTAAGATTCACAATTTAACTTTTCCAAACAACTAAAGAAGTTTAAAGACTTCTAGTGGGCAAAAAATATGCTTTTGGTCAGCTACTGTCTATATTACACGAAGCCTTGAGAGGAAATATAGTTTATCTTTGTGGATATGGATTTTACAAGTGCTAAGCACAATTATCCTGAAACTCTCATGGCAGAGGAATACCCAAATGCAGAATTGTGCCAACAACACTAGTGTTAATAATCTGCACACCATCTTAGTTAAGGGAAGTAGAGGGCAGCTTGCACTGCTTGCCATCTGCTTGTGCTGGGGGTTTGGTGATGGCCACTGCCGAGACAGGGAAGTAAAATCTTAGGAAGGTCATGCCTGCTGTCATTGAGGCAGATCATGAATCCTCAGGGAGAAATGAAAGGCTTGGCAATAACCCGTCAAGTTGGAGAGTAGTGTGCTGATCTGGGGACCAGGATTACAAATGCAATCGATGCCAATAACTTAACAGGTTTAGTTCATCTGTTCCTTTGCATTCTGAAAGGCAAGTTTTTGTCCTTATTAAATACATATTTTGGTAGGGTTTGAAGCGTGACTGAATTTTGTTTGTGGTTTTACATGTACTTATTAAACGCATGGAATTTCTTCAGGAAAATGGATGATATAATTTTAGTCTCAATGTCAAAAAGATAAACACACATATAAAGAACATAACATGAAAACCTAATTTGCAACCTGTGGTTACTAGAGAAAATAACTAGTTTGAATATCATCTCTGGTATAATCCTCATGGTAAATGCTTTTATCTATACCTCGTATACAAGATTTAAATGGATTTGAAGTTTTATGTGCATCAGCATCCTTGTATCAAGTATATGGCACATCTGACTAACAATCACCATGTTTTTCATTCTTCATCCCACTAAATATTTCCCAAATTTAAGAAAACAATTCATCAGAAATGCATACCAAATATTTTTCTTCTGAACAATTGAAATTTCCATTAAAAAGGGAGAATTTTAAACCATGAACTAACATATGATAAGTAAGACCATCAATTTCCAGGAGTTACCATACATTGAGATTTGCTTCAGTCATCTTTTCAATCTGTGCTGCCTTCTCCCGTGCACTTGCAGCCAACAACTCTGCTTTTGCAAGCTCCTTCAACTTTTGCAGCTTCATTTCCGTTTCATTTTCCTGCATTTAAAATGTTTGCAACTTGAGTAAAGTGTTATCAAATCCACGCATATGGTACAGAATCTTATGGAGGAAAAACATATGCAAACCTTCTGTTCAAGCTCCACCCTAATTTTTTCCTCCATCCTTTCTTGAAGTGTCTTGATTGCAGCTGCAGCTTTGGCTCTCTCTCTTTTTATTTCCTGAAATTGTAGAAGTTGTCATCTAGTCACGGGTGGCACTATATTGGAGGAAGGGGGCTGGAGAATTTGCCTAAACAGATAGCTTATCTCCAACCATAACTATACTCTATTAACTCTCTTGTTACAATGCTACAGACATGAAAAGAAGACCATAATCTGTACAACCTTATCCAATATTGCTGCCTTTTCTGTGTGCATAAGTTCCCTAGCCCTTAAATCCCTCAGTTCTTTTTCATACTTCTCCTGAAAGAGAGCAAAGGATAAGTGCAAATAGATAATGAAAGAAAAGTACATGCAGTAGTCATTAATCAAGAAATGCCCATGCTACAAAGTATGCAACAGCAATACCTTCAGAGCTCTTTTTTCTTCAGCAAAAGCAAGGGCATCCAAATCAGCTTGCCTCTTTTCAGCTGCATGAATTGCTTCGAGAAAATCCATAACTAACTTTCCATCTTTAGTTAGGTAACCCTCATTCAGTTCTTCTATGGCACTAACAATAGCCTGTAGTTCCAAAGAATCTCAGTTAAGCAAGTACATGCCTCAATCACAAAAATATGTACATGATAGAAATGTAGCAACCTGTTCTCCAAGGCCCTCTGTTGCAGTGTTCTTTTCAGCTTTGTCATCAAGATGGTATGAATCAAGTAGACTTGATGTTCCTACATCTTCACCAAAGGCACCCTGCTGCAAAGAGATACCAAAACAGATTTTAAAGCTGTCCAGAACAGCACAACAAACATAGAGAACAAAGTACATTTTTAAAATTCATTTCTATGGTACATAAAACAAGTATAACAGCTAGCAACACCAGCATCACCATCATATGCACAGTGAATGCCTTTCCAATATGTTACGAAGGATAAAAATAGAAATCTAACAGTGGTTTTTAGCTGTCTCCCTATTGAAAGAGCCTCCTTATGAAGGCTTCATAGGCTAGACAAGAAAGAAATAAAATGACCATAGCTTAACATAAAGAACATATATATAGACATGCATACAGTAGAAATTCTATTCTTGTTATCTTGCTCTCCTGTTTTGTATTTTAGCCTCTCTTTTTTTCCTAGAAATTGAACACAAGAGACTGTCCAAACTTAAGGTAATTAATACAGAGGGTAATAGTAAACTATCTACAGCTAAGAACTTCTACAGTATGCTTCCAGCGTGGTTTACACTCCAAAGCAACATGAATTACAAATTATTAGTAGCAATTACTATCAAGAGTACCTCAGATCTGTCTTCTGAAGTAACATTCTGAGTTTGAACTGCTTTTATTTCCCTCTCTACAGGAACAGTTGCATCCTGAGGTTGTACTTCTGTAACTTGAGTTCCCTCATTCGATTCTTCAGTAGTTTTCAACTCTGGGCTTTCCACGCTAAGACTGCCTTCAGAACCTATACATTGAGAAAATTTTGGTTCATGCCCCTCCTCAACAGAGATTGTCCCATGGTCTACCTGGTACTGATTATCAGGTTCTGTTTTACTTAGAGTTTCAGCCTTCTGCTTGGTTTCAACATAAGGAAGATCTGAAGGAGTTTCAACCTTCTGCTCAGTTTCAACATGGGGAAGATCTATACGAGTTTCAACCTTGTCCTTCTTGGTTTCAACATTAGGAAGATCTGTCTGAGTTTGAACCTTTTGCGCAGCCTCCTCTATAAAATGGCTTAATTTATTAGCCTCTTCACTCATGGCTGACACATCTTCATGATCAATGCCATCCCCACCCGAGTTAACATAAACTTGCTTCTTTTTACCAATTAATTCAATAAATGGGTCTAACCAGCCTACATAATAACATGTCCCAACAACAAGAGCTGCACCTAAGCCTTTTGCTAAAAGTGAACCCGTCCTCTCTGATTTATCATTCTGATCACCGTTTGGGGATGCATTCTTCTGTAAAGTGGTTGAGAATTCCTTCCTTGAAGAAAGGAAGGGGGACACACGCTGAAATTACACCACAGAAAAGAACCCAATAACAGCAAACTAGACATTAGCTTCAGCAACAATCATTTACCAAAAATCAAGATGTTAGCTAAAAATAGAAGTATATATTTACAAAATAACACTAACTCGATAATAAAAAGGGGAAATTATGAGGTCAGGCACAGACAAGCAAGTGAGATATAGACAAAAAGAAAAATCAACATTCGAGACTTGTGGTGCCATATCATAAGCTTAATAAATTGAATTTGTATGATATCAATAAAAAGTCGGAAAATAAATTCTGGGTTCAAGATAAACTCCACTCTCAAGTATTTGCTCGGATTTAGAATGAATTATCTCAAATCTAAAAACAAGACTATCTAATATATAATTGCAAAATTTACAATTTGTTAGCAAAGAAACATGCCTGAGAAGTAATCTGCCTCGGTATCCTGCTTAGTGATTGACGACGACTTGATAACTCCAAAAGGGACCTGCGAGACAACGCAAAAGAGAGAGAGAAGAGAAGAGAAAACAGCATTGAAGCTCGATCAGCAAATCTAAGTTTTCCAGTTATTATACAGCAAGAAAAAACCCAAAAGCGATCACAGAAATCATTTTTACAAGTAAATAGTGTAAGGTGAGTGACTAAAGCATAAAATGTGAAGGCCATACCTTCGAAGCATTGTTCTTGAGACTTATATTCTATTAGAGTGTAAGTGCTCGATAAAATGACTGAGAAAAAAATGTCAGTGGTAAAGAAAGCTTAGATTTTCAGTTGGGGTTTTGGGGTTTTAAGTCATGTTAGCATTGGATTTGAAAGGAAGAAATCGTTTTGGATTGGATTGAAGATGAAATGATCGCCTTCTTCCAATTGATGTCTCCACGAGAAAGAGCTATACTGTCTGCGGGCTTCTTTTTTTTTTTAAAAAGAACTCCAACGTGTAATGTTCAGTGAATTACATTCTGATTGTTTTTATATTTTAAAATTATTTTTTAAAAATTATTTTTTTTATTCTTTTATTTAAAGCAATATTTTTTAATATTTTTAAATTATTTTAATATACTGATATAAAAAATAATTATAAAAAAATTAAAAACATATTATTTTAATAATCGATCATGAAATGACATCATTCAATCTGCACAACTGGATTACACCATTTACTGGCACATGCTAACAAATGGATCAACAAGTGACTTGCCTTCTGATTCAATTCCAATAGTGTATCAGGACCATGGTGCTTTGTTTCTTCAGGAAGGTTTGATAGAACCAGAAGTAAAAGTGAGTCCTTATCAATGCCCTCAATATAGGTGTTTAAAGCATCTAGCTCTTGCTGAATCGGTAGTCCTCTGTAAAGTGCATCTTCTAATGCAAGCGCTCCCTGTAACATGTGCATGCAGTACATCATTTTGCTAACTAGGTAAACATTGATATCAGAAATGCACAAGTATAACACAAGTGCCGGCACACAAGACAGAATGAACATTAGTATCCTGAAAAAAAAAATTGAAAGGAAGAAAAGAACAAGAAATCCTTACAAGAGCAAGCTTGTGAACAGAGTGAATTTGACGAGCCTCTTCAGATCGCGCATAGAATGCCATGCACAAGGCATTTATCTGTAAAAACAAGAAGAATTATCACCAAACAATTTGCATAATAGAAACTTCCAAGGTGCTAAAATGCCAACAAGTGAAAGATGTTAACACATGCTAATAGCTGTGAAATACTAGTGAGCAAGCATACACACTCTACTTGTGGAAACATTTAGGCTTAAGATTCACAATTTAACTTTTCCAAACAACTAAAGAAGTTTAAAGACTTCTAGTGGGCAAAAAATATGCTTTTGGTCAGCTACTGTCTATATTACACGAAGCCTTGAGAGGAAATATAGTTTATCTTTGTGGATATGGATTTTACAAGTGCTAAGCACAATTATCCTGAAACTCTCATGGCAGAGGAATACCCAAATGCAGAATTGTGCCAACAACACTAGTGTTAATAATCTGCACACCATCTTAGTTAAGGGAAGTAGAGGGCAGCTTGCACTGCTTGCCATCTGCTTGTGCTGGGGGTTTGGTGATGGCCACTGCCGAGACAGGGAAGTAAAATCTTAGGAAGGTCATGCCTACTGTCATTGAGGCAGATCATGAATCCTCAGGGAGAAATGAAAGGCTTGGCAATAACCCGTCAAGTTGGAGAGTAGTGTGCTGATCTGGGGACCAGGATTACAAATGCAATCGATGCCAATAACTTAACAGGTTTAGTTCATCTGTTCCTTTGCATTCTGAAAGGCAAGTTTTTGTCCTTATTAAATACATATTTTGGTAGGGTTTGAAGCGTGACTGAATTTTGTTTGTGGTTTTACATGTACTTATTAAACGCATGGAATTTCTTCAGGAAAATGGATGATATAATTTTAGTCTCAATGTCAAAAAGATAAACACACATATAAAGAACATAACATGAAAACCTAATTTGCAACCTGTGGTTACTAGAGAAAATAACTAGTTTGAATATCATCTCTGGTATAATCCTCATGGTAAATGCTTTTATCTATACCTCGTATACAAGATTTAAATGGATTTGAAGTTTTATGTGCATCAGCATCCTTGTATCAAGTATATGGCACATCTGACTAACAATCACCATGTTTTTCATTCTTCATCCCACTAAATATTTCCCAAATTTAAGAAAACAATTCATCAGAAATGCATACCAAATATTTTTCTTCTGAACAATTGAAATTTCCATTAAAAAGGGAGAATTTTAAACCATGAACTAACATATGATAAGTAAGACCATCAATTTCCAGGAGTTACCATACATTGAGATTTGCTTCAGTCATCTTTTCAATCTGTGCTGCCTTCTCCCGTGCACTTGCAGCCAACAACTCTGCTTTTGCAAGCTCCTTCAACTTTTGCAGCTTCATTTCCGTTTCATTTTCCTGCATTTAAAATGTTTGCAACTTGAGTAAAGTGTTATCAAATCCACGCATATGGTACAGAATCTCATGGAGGAAAAACATATGCAAACCTTCTGTTCAAGCTCCACCCTAATTTTTTCCTCCATCCTTTCTTGAAGTGTCTTGATTGCAGCTGCAGCTTTGGCTCTCTCTCTTTTTATTTCCTGAAATTGTAGAAGTTGTCATCTAGTCACGGGTGGCACTATATTGGAGGAAGGGGGCTGGAGAATTTGCCTAAACAGATAGCTTATCTCCAACCATAACTATACTCTATTAACTCTCTTGTTACAATGCTACAGACATGAAAAGAAGACCATAATCTGTACAACCTTATCCAATATTGCTGCCTTTTCTGTGTGCATAAGTTCCCTAGCCCTTAAATCCCTCAGTTCTTTTTCATACTTCTCCTGAAAGAGAGCAAAGGATAAGTGCAAATAGATAATGAAAGAAAAGTACATGCAGTAGTCATTAATCAAGAAGTGCCCATGCTACAAAGTATGCAACAGCAATACCTTCAGAGCTCTTTTTTCTTCAGCAAAAGCAAGGGCATCCAAATCAGCTTGCCTCTTTTCAGCTGCATGAATTGCTTCGAGAAAATCCATAACTAACTTTCCATCTTTAGTTAGGTAACCCTCATTCAGTTCTTCTATGGCACTAACAATAGCCTGTAGTTCCAAAGAATCTCAGTTAAGCAAGTACATGCCTCAATCACAAAAATATGTACATGATAGAAATGTAGCAACCTGTTCTCCAAGGCCCTCTGTTGCAGTGTTCTTTTCAGCTTTGTCATCAAGATGGTATGAATCAAGTAGACTTGATGTTCCTACATCTTCACCAAAGGCACCCTGCTGCAAAGAGATACCAAAACAGATTTTAAAGCTGTCCAGAACAGCACAACAAACATAGAGAACAAAGTACATTTTTAAAATTCATTTCTATGGTACATAAAACAAGTATAACAGCTAGCAACACCAGCATCACCATCATATGCACAGTGAATGCCTTTCCAATATGTTACGAAGGATAAAAATAGAAATCTAACAGTGGTTTTTAGCTGTCTCCCTATTGAAAGAGCCTCCTTATGAAGGCTTCATAGGCTAGACAAGAAAGAAATAAAATGACCATAGCTTAACATAAAGAACATATATATAGACATGCATACAGTAGAAATTCTATTCTTGTTATCTTGCTCTCCTGTTTTGTATTTTAGCCTCTCTTTTTTTCCTAGAAATTGAACACAAGAGACTGTCCAAACTTAAGGTAATTAATACAGAGGGTACTAGTAAACTATCTACAGCTAAGAACTTCTACAGTATGCTTCCAGCGTGGTTTACACTCCAAAGCAACATGAATTACAAATTATTAGTAGCAATTACTATCAAGAGTACCTCAGATCTGTCTTCTGAAGTAACATTCTGAGTTTGAACTGCTTTTATTTCCCTCTCTACAGGAACAGTTGCATCCTGAGGTTGTACTTCTGTAACTTGAGTTCCCTCATTCGATTCTTCAGTAGTTTTCAACTCTGGGCTTTCCACGCTAAGACTGCCTTCAGAACCTATACATTGAGAAAATTTTGGTTCATGCCCCTCCTCAACAGAGATTGTCCCATGGTCTACCTGGTACTGATTATCAGGTTCTGTTTTCCTTAGAGTTTCAGCCTTCTGCTCGGTTTCAACATAAGGAAGATCTGAAGGAGTTTCAACCTTCTGCTCAGTTTCAACATGGATCAGATCTATACGAGTTTCAACCTTGTCCTTCTTGGTTTCAACATTAGGAAGATCTGTCTGAGTTTGAACCTTTTGCGCAGCCTCCTCTATAAAATGGCTTAATTTATTAGCCTCTTCACTCATGGCTGACACATCTTCATGATCAATGCCATCCCCACCCGAGTTAACATAAACTTGCTTCTTTTTACCAATTAATTCAATAAATGGGTCTAACCAGCCTACATAATAACATGTCCCAACAACAAGAGCTGCACCTAAGCCTTTTGCTAAAAGTGAACCCGTCCTCTCTGATTTATCATTCTGATCACCGTTTGGGGATGCATTCTTCTGTAAAGTGGTTGAGAATTCCTTCCTTGAAGAAAGGAAGGGGGACACACGCTGAAATTACACCACAGAAAAGAACCCAATAACAGCAAACTAGACATTAGCTTCAGCAACAATCATTTACCAAAAATCAAGATGTTAGCTAAAAATAGAAGTATATATTTACAAAATAACACTAACTCGATAATAAAAAGGGGAAATTATGAGGTCAGGCACAGACAAGCAAGTGAGATATAGACAAAAAGAAAAATCAACATTCGAGACTTGTGGTGCCATATCATAAGCTTAATAAATTGAATTTGTATGATATCAATAAAAAGTCGGAAAATAAATTCTGGGTTCAAGATAAACTCCACTCTCAAGTATTTGCTCGGATTTAGAATGAATTATCTCAAATCTAAAAACAAGACTATCTAATATATAATTGCAAAATTTACAATTTGTTAGCAAAGAAACATGCCTGAGAAGTAATCTGCCTCGGTATCCTGCTTAGTGATTGACGACGACTTGATAACTCCAAAAGGGACCTGCGAGACAACGCAAAAGAGAGAGAGGAGAGAAGAGAAAACAGCATTGAAGCTCGATCAGCAAATCTAAGTTTTCCAGTTATTATACAGCAAGAAAAAACCCAAAAGCGATCACAGAAATCATTTTTACAAGTAAATAGTGTAAGGTGAGTGACTAAAGCATAAAATGTGAAGGCCATACCTTCGAAGCATTGTTCTTGAGACTTATATTCTATTAGAGTGTAAGTGCTCGATAAAATGACTGAGAAAAAAATGTCAGTGGTAAAGAAAGCTTAGATTTTCAGTTGGGGTTTTGGGGTTTTAAGTCATGTTAGCATTGGATTTGAAAGGAAGAAATCGTTTTGGATTGGATTGAAGATGAAATGATCGCCTTCTTCCAATTGATGTCTCCACGAGAAAGAGCTATACTGTCTGCGGGCTTCTTTTTTTTTTTAAAAAGAACTCCAACGTGTAATGTTCAGTGAATTACATTCTGATTGTTTTTATATTTTAAAATTATTTTTTAAAAATTATTTTTTTTATTCTTTTATTTAAAGCAACATTTTTTAATATTTTTAAATTATTTTAATATACTGATATAAAAAAATAATTTTAAAAATAAAAAAATATTTTAATATATTTTTAAATAAAAAATATTTAAAAAAATCATAATCACATTCTCAAATATATTTTTACGAATAGAGGCTGCAACATTTCTAATCTGCATAAATTTTTTTCAAGAAGAGATTAAAAGATAATAAAATAAAATTTTAAATTATAAAAAAAATCAACAAAAAATTAAAAAAATTAAAAATTAAAAAATCAAAGATTAATTTTGATATAAATATTATTTAAAATTAAATATTAAAAGATAAAATTAAAAATAAAATTTAATTAAAAATAAAAACCAAATTAAATTACACTTATATAAATTATTACAGCCCAACCATTACACACATGGAAGATACTAACAAAAAAAAATTATAACAAGATGTATTTAATATTGTTTTAAAAAAGATATTTAGACATGAAATGATGTTGCATGCATTATTTAAAGATGTGAATTTTAATCTATGTCAATATATATTTATAATTTATAAAATTTTAGATGCATTGATATTTTCATTTGAATTGTGAAATTTATTTGTTTATGTTATTTTTAATTGAGAATTTTAATGTGTTGATATGGTTTTTAAAATCTTAGTTTTAATGTGTTATATATTTTTAAATTGTGAAAAAATTTTTGTTTATGATAAAGGTGGTTTCACATATAAAAAATAAAAACATAAAAATATATGAATATAAATTATATTATTATTATTATTATTTTGTATTGTCTTTATTTATATTTTTAATAATTTTTATGTATTATAATACTTCTTTTATTGTAAAAAGATTTAGAATGGGCCAACATGACCTTATATTACCCAATAAACATGAGTGGTACCTTTTAGGACATGTCACATAGTAAGGTAAAGCTCATTTTGTTTTTTCTTCATCTGATGCTTGTTTTAAAATCCTTCAAAAATATTATTTGTTTAAAATCATAAAAAAAAAATTTATTAGTCACTCATAATATTTAATATAATTGGCTCATATTGAGTTTTTATTTTGAAGGTCAACAAGGATTAATGCATCCCTTTGATTTGTTAAACAATAATTTTTTTAGTATAATATTAATTGATAACAAAAATCAAGAATATTAATATCAATATTACTGGATTTTACTTCTAACTAGATCAATCCAAAATAATACTACTTAGATATTTTTGAACTAGATTTTGAAACCTCATTTAACAAATATTGCAAAGTGAATATAGGTATCATAAGACAAGTAAATCTTATTAAGACTCATGCAACTTTCCTATGTTCTATATTGGGCTCATCAAGTCATTAATTAATATGACTTTGGTTGTGATTTGAAGGGGCTTACTTTATATTTATCAATTCATCAAGTAATTGGAAGTGATAAAATTAATCAAATTTTAGAATTGTTAAATTTGAACCAATAATTATGGTTTAACTCATTGCAGTAGACCCGTTATTATCATGTAAATAAACCATTAGTAGATTATATATCACAAATTATTAGGAATTTAAAAAAGGACTAGCAATTCAACTTACCTTGGATATTATGCTTTAAGGTAATAATATATTTTTTATATCATAACTAGTTCTTTACCACAAATCTCTAAAGACTAATTAGAATTTCTAATAACCATAATACTAGATAACGAATATTATTTTTAAAAGTCTAGATCTTTTCCCAGAAGAACCATATACCCTATTCTTTTTTCTAAGGTCATTGGAATATTGACAACAAAATTGATAAAAAAAAATTTTAATTGAAAATAGAATAAAAAAAGAATATTGACAACAAAATTGATAAAAAAATTTAATTGAAAATAGAATAAAAATATTCAAGTAAACTCAAGTTAATATACTACGTCCACAATTTAGGTCATACACCCCTCTTGATTTAATAAGTTTTAATTAATTGAATTATTTTTTATTTAATTATATGACAATTATTAGTGTACAACTTTTTATCAAAACAAAATAAAAATAAAAATAAATAAAAAAGATAAAACAAGCATTTAGGATTAAAATAACAAAAATAGACTTAATTTTTAAAGTCAAATAACAAAAAGATTCATTTATTAAAAGTTAAATAAAAAAAGGCCTTTAAATAACAAAGGATGAATTTTTGATAAAAAGTTTAATAGACTAAAAATGCATTAAAAAAAAAACAAACATAGTAAGGCACATAGAACTCAAATAATAAATATAGGCTGACTTTTTTAAATTCAAATAACAAAAAGATATGTTTTTTAAGTTAAATGAGAAAAATAAACTTTTGAATAACAAATTATAAAATGTTTAATTTTTTTAGTTTAAAGGACTAATATACACACACACACACACATAAAGCAAGCTAGGTGTGTGGGCTATTAGCCAAGGCTCAACGCATCTAGAATTTAACAAAAAAATCTCTAATCTTGTGCGTCTTGGAGATTTGTTTTTTAAGAAAACTCATCAAACAACACGTTGTTTACCTAGTTTTTGTTTTAAAAAAATTATAGGCAATGCATCACCTACAACTAAGATTTAGACAACTAAATGGTCATTAGAAAATCAAGTCAGGGGTTTTTTAGATTCAAAAATCTATTTTCAACCATTTTTCAACCAAAAACCTAAGTGAACCTTTTCATGCCTTTAAATAACTTAAGAATCAGTCCAAACATAAGAAATTATCTTGAGACCCAAAAACTTCCTAATATCATATGTACTTTTCTATACAATTTTAGGGTAAAACAACATATTTGATGAAAATGATAATACCAAGATTGATCATATTAATGATCAAAATCAATGTCAATCGAGATTTTCTCTTTATACCATCAGAATCTTGCAACTCTCACTCTCTTTCTTATCTATCAAACCATGAACTATAAAGTAAAAAAAAATAAACTTTTGAAGTAAAATTGAATTTAAAAAAAATATAGGGATAAAAAATCTATCAATTGAAAAAATCGAAGGACCAAAGTTAACTTTCAATCTTGCTTTTCATTAACAAATTGAAAGCAATTGTCCTTTAATTTCCCCCATAAAAGAATGAAATCACCCAAAAAAAATTTATGAATAAAATAAAAATCATTATGTGAATGAGATGTGAGAGGAGTTAAAGTGCATTTTACACAATATAACCTCCTCGCCACTTTGTTCATGTTAGCTAGATCATTAACTCGAACTATATTGTGGGTTAAATTGATATTTCTTTCATGTAAAAAAAAAATTAGGAGTTGCTAATTTTTTGGTGTGTGGGCTATTAGCCAAGGCTCAACACATCTAGAACTTAACAAAAAAATCTCTAATCTTGTGCATCTTGGAGATTTTTTTTTAAGAAAACTCATCAAACAACAAGTTGTTCACCTAGTATTTGTTTTTAAAAAATTATAGGCAATGCGTCGCCTACAACTAAGATTTAGACAACTAAATGGTCATTAGAAAATCAAGTCAGGGGTTTTTTAGATTCAAAAATCTATTTTCAACCATTTTTCAACCAAAAACCTAAGTGAACCTTTTCATGCCTTTAAATAACTTAAGAATCAGTCCAAACATAAGAAATTATCTTGAGACCCAAAAACTTCCTAATATCATATGTACTTTTCTATACAATTTTAGGGTAAAACAACATATTTGATGAAAATGATAATACCAAGATTGATCATATTAATGATCAAAATCAATGTCAATCGAGATTTTCTCTTTATACCATCAGAATCTTGCAACTCTCACTCTCTTTCTTATCTATCAAACCATGAACTATAAAGTAAAAAAAAATAAACTTTTGAAGTAAAATTGAATTTAAAAAAAATATAGGGATAAAAAATCTATCAATTGAAAAAATCGAAGGACCAAAGTTAACTTTCAATCTTGCTTTTCATTAACAAATTGAAAGCAATTGTCCTTTAATTTCCCCCATAAAAGAATGAAATCACCCAAAAAAAATTTATGAATAAAATAAAAATCATTATGTGAATGAGATGTGAGAGGAGTTAAAGTGCATTTTACACAATATAACCTCCTCGCCACTTTGTTCATGTTAGCTAGATCATTAACTCGAACTATATTGTGGGTTAAATTGATATTTCTTTCATGTAAAAAAAAAATTAGGAGTTGCTAATTTTTTTTGCAATAGAAAATAATTTTAAAATAATATAGAGATTAACCTGATATAACCTGATCAACTTGGCAAAGCTAAAAACAATTTAAATGGCTAGTAAAAATATATTGTAACTCAAAATAAATATTCAAGATGAGACTTTTTTACAAATATTGAAATGACAGCATATTGAATTGATTCGAGTTAACTCGATTTAATCTACAAATCCACATGTCCGATTATAAGACCATGTAACCTTATAGAAAGAAAATAAAGAAAGATTATGAAGCTCAGTTGCCAATAAAACTAATTTTGAATGATAAAAATTAAAAAAAT